TTTTTCTTTTAATAGAATCATTTTATTGGGGGCTCATACAACTGTTATCCCAATCCATACACACATCAATTGTCTCAGCCTCTTCTTGTAGTGTATTTTATTTATGAGCTAGTAAAGGAAGAGACATCTTAACTGGAAAAACAACACAGCTGGATATTAAAATATTGTGTCCATAGTTAAATTTACATATTCAATAAATGTTCACTTGTATGAGAATCTATATGCCTTATCTAGAGTCCCGCCACTCCCCATTACAGTCCACAGATTCCCTGAGTGATGCAAGCGGTGAGTGCATTCTGCTGCTAATCAAAAGCTTGGCAGTTTGAGTTTACCCAGAGGCTCCTCAGAAGAAAGCACAGTCCCTCTCCGACACCTCCGGAGTCAGGTCATCAGGATGCAGAGACAACCCGAGGGCCCCGGTGGACTTGGACTCCCCCCACTTTAGTTTCACACACCCTCGCTAGGACTCTCTCCTGCCGTCACCCGTCACAGAGCCACCTGAAGGATGCAGTGCTCCAGCTGTGTGGGCAGCTGGCTTGGGGAGGGACAACTCTGTCCTGAGTGGGACCGTCCCTGGATACTGCAGGACACGAAATGCCAGTCTACAGCCAGCATGCTCCTTAGAAGCAAGCTTCGGCTCACCTACTTTGGACTCGCCAACAGGAAAGACCGATCTCTAGAAAAGAAGGGCCCGTCGAGCTATGGGGAAGGTCACCGAAATTGGGGGGAGCCCCCAAAGAGGTGAACGGACACAACAGCCACTTCATAACACAAGCCTAATGAGCAGGCATGGCGTGGCACAGGATCGGGAGACATGCCATGCTGTCGTGCCGGGGACTTCTGAAAAGTTTGTGGAAGAGTGGAACTAAAAAGACAATGGGATTTCCCCAGAAGCCCTTTGAAGCTCCCTTCTACACAGTCACTGTGCGTGTGCTTGCTGGAAGACCGAACGCACCACACATGCCAGGAGCTTCCTTCTCTTCCCCGACCCCAACGGTGGCATCCCAAACCAACTCTCCCACAGACACATTTCAGGGACAGGGCAAGAAGTTGTACCAACCACCATTGACCACCAATCTAGACTGAGGTCTTGCCCACGCTTGGTAACAAGCAGAGAAAGGCTGGAGAGTCTGATCCTAAGCCGCCACTATCTTTCCTGTTGCGCCAGGAGAGTTCGACCAGACCCATGCCCGGCCCTGAATTCACCCAGGTTCTCCTGATCCCCAGCATCCACTGCTAGTCCTGAGGACTCCGGGGAGCTTCCATTTGTCTCTCCGCTGCCTACATCGGTCGTTCAGAGGTGGCTGCCTGCCAGGCATCTCAAAAGTACCACGGCGAAGATGTCTTCATTTCCCTCTGCGCTACACTCTGCTCCTTCCCACTGTGTCCACCCAACGAAACACACAACTAACGATTAGGTGCTTCCTCACACCTCACCTCCCAAATCAGCAAATGCTGTGGGTCCCACCTTCGAAATGCACCCCAAATCTGGCCATCTCTTACGGAACATGCTAGCACCAGCCACCCCCTCCTCACAGGTGTGAGGTGTCCCAGCTTCCCCGGGGCTCCCGCTTCCACTCTTGTCCCGCACCCCCCGACTCATGGTATGTTCCCCACTCAGCAGCCAAAGCAGATGCTTCACACCTAGCGATCACTCCCCACCCCACGCCTGCTCCAGGCCCTCCAGGAGCGATCCACGGCACTTCGAGTACCATCAATGCTTAGTCCCAGGGTCCAAGAGGGACGTCCCGATCCACCCCTGCTGGCCTCCTTCTCTCACGCTCCTCCTTTGCCCCACTTTCTACTTCTCCTCACACACAGGACTCACCCCCTACTCCACCCCGAACCTTGAGTGCCCCTCAGCCCTCTCTCTGCAACTCAATCATTCTCTCCCTCACTACAGGTGTCTGCTCAATGCCAACTCCTCAGATGGGCACGGCCTCCCCAGCCTACCTATTAGAGTCCTCTGTGCCTCCCTGCCCAGCCCCAGCTCAGCGTCTTGTCCCCGGCGATCTGCCAGACCTGCCTTTCCCACTGCCCTCAGACACCCGGCTCGGTTCGTCTGCTTGTTTATAGCTTCCCCATCAGGATGTGAACCCCAGAGGAGGAGAGCCCGTGGCTGGAGGGCAGAGGATGGGGAAGAGAGACAGGCGAGGGCTTGGTCTCCTATTTGAGAGCTGACTGAAGCTCTCCTCCTGATTGACCGTTTGCATGTCAGGCCATCACATGCAGGGGAGTCAGTAAGCAGGAGAAATGGTGTCTGTGGAATCCTCTGTTGAGAAGGAAAACGAAGCCAACCATTTTCACCGATACGGCAAAAGCATACCCTTCTCCTGGTGGAAGACGCTGTTTGCGAAGACGGGCGAGTCGGGCATGGGGGGCAGGGAGGGGCAGGGAGCAGAGGCCCAGGACAGCAAGCTCCCTGCCGCGCTGTCATTGTTGCTCCCAAGTCTCATGAGCCAGTGGTCGGAGATGGAGGAGCTTGTGGAACCTGCGTGGAAAACAGAGAAGGGTAGACCTCAATGCCATTGTGCCACGGCCCTAGGGCAGCTTCACACGGGCGTGCTTGTCCCCTGACCCCCGTCTCCGAGCCCCAGACACAGGCTCACAGCACGAGTCCAGAAATGTAGGTTAACTTGCGATGGACCAACCCCCCACGTGGTGCACATGGCTCACATACTGACCCAAAGGCTGGGGGTGGAGCCCCCCCAGC